CCACATGAGCTTATGCTCAGATGTTTTTGAGACATCCGTGTCTACCATTCCATCCATTTGGGCTAATAATCAAATTTATTCAATAACCCGAATTTTGAAAATTCTGTGTATTTCTTGTCTTTTTCAACAGCGAAAATTCAAAATGCTTAATTTATCGCTCTCGCAACTTAATATTAATTCTTTTGGTAGCGGGGGAAGGATTTGAACCTCCGATCTCCGGATTATGAGCCCGACGAGTTAGACCACTACTCTACCCCGCGATTATAATTTAATATATTTTAATGATTACAAACTTTTTCTCTCAAAAATCAATTATTTTGACTTTCTATTTGTTGAATTAGATAATTGTTTTAAATGTTTGCTATCCAATTTCAAGTTGTTTATCAACTAATCTAATTTAAACAAAAAAGAAGAAAATTTTGCTTAAGCAAGTTTCGGTTTAGAAAATTTATGGAATTCCTTGGCTAGATTTTTGGTAACTAGTATCGTAAGCAATGATCCAAAAATGCTTTTCTGAAATAATACTTATTCATTATCCTTCTTTTCAGCTAACTCCTTTTCTAAGTAATTTAACTTAGCTCGGCAAACTTTACGCATAATTTTACCAGTTTTTTTGACACTCACTATAAATGGAGAATGATAAGAAAAAGTACTCCTAATTGCTAATTTATCCCTTCCTTTACTGTCTTTTAACACCGAAAAAGTGTAACTAATTTGGTTTTGGTTTCTTTGGGCAATTACGGTTCCTTTAAAGTGAGCAAGGCGGGGTTTTAAAACTGAATCATTTTTTTCTTTTTCGCTCTGACGAAAGTTTTTAGTGGCAACCTCAACTTTGTCGCCCACTTGAAGAGAAGGAAGATCAGTACGAAAGTATTGTTTACTTATTTTATAAAGAGTATCCATAAATTATTTTTAATTAATTATAGTTGGCTCGGTTATTTTTTCTGCGGAAGAATAACCAGCCTGTTAAGCCACCAATCAACAATATACTTGCTGCTAGCAAACCAATTTTTAGTGGGTCTTTATATCACTCGCCTTTACTTTGCTCATTACTTAATGCTCCATCTACATCTGCAAAAAGTTCCGACTTGTTACTGTCGCCTATTGCCTTAAAAATTTCTCCAATTGAAGATAAAACTCCATCAAAATTTTGGTCAGCGGGTATTGGAGGAGGGGTATTTTGTCCTACTTCATTTTTGATATCACCAGACAGTTTTTCCAGCATTCTCTCTGATTCAGTAGAAGGAATGTCCTGGTATTGAGACACTTTGTCAGCCAGTTTATTAAGGTGATTAGTGAAAACTCTAATCAATTCCTTGACCTCTTCAACTAATCCCATTTCCTTAATCGCTTTAAATGGAGGCAAAAATTTGTATATTTGCGGATT